AAAAAATCTGGCCAGCTTTTCGAAACTAAATATTATTTACGTGGTCAGCAATCGAGAGCAATCTCTCCCGCTTCCCGACCAAGCCTGATTATGAACTGTAAAAAATTAAGTTTAACTGTTAGTTTTAAACTTTATTGGTAACACATACATTAATTTTAATATGTTATAAAACTCTTAAAATATCTCCTAACTCTCTTCAGATAAAAAATGTAATTTTCACCATCGAAGGTACTTGTAATAGATAAGCACATGCTTATGATTCATATAATAAATTGATAACATTCCTTTAGTTATTGATAAATAAATTATATAAAATTATTAAATAAATATATTTTTTTATTTATATTGTATATAATTTGATATATATTGTATATACCTTATATACAGTGCCATGGCTACTAGATACAAGCCCCCCATTCCAAAAAAAAACCTGTCATAAGGGGCCCCAAAATTCCTAAAAACTAAATAAAAATCTAAATAAAAATCCTAAAAAAAAAAAATCCCTTACATTTGTAAAAGGGCCCCTAAATTTGCAAATGAGCCCCCTAGACAAACATTTTTTAATTGACCTGAAAAAGTTTTGTATTTGAGAGAGGGACATCTATCAAGTACCTAAAATTTAACTGTATTATTTCCTATATGTGCTTATGAATGGACATTGTACACTAGTTGATCCTTATGATAAAGTTCACATATAAAAATAAGTAGCTGAAAAGCAAAATTAACATATTTTTTCAACAAAATGAAACATTATGAAAGTAGAACTACAAATGAAAAATCTAAAAAATTGAATAGATTTTTGGCTAAACCATTCCCTTTAAACAACTGGTCCAGTGTATACTATAAATAGTCTAAGCTTAGTTGTTTTCCATTTTTTAATATCTAATTAAGACCTTGATTTTCTAGAAAAATTTCTTGGAATGTAATGACGTATCTGGAACAATCCGCCAGATAAAGTATTGACTGTAATCTGAGACAATTTACAACATTTGGGCAATTTAACCATAAATTGAGAAATCTTCGCATTACCTCTAAGCATACTAAATGCATTAAGTCTAAAGGAAACTTAGTCACCATGTCAAAATTTAATTCAATTTAACACACCACTATGATGTTCAGAATGCTTTTAATGACAAAAAATCTGAATCAGTGCTTAAAATTAGTGAAATATGTAGGAGAATTATCTTGCCACACCACTCTCCTTTCTAAGCACAACATTCACATCAGTTATAACCATTGTGTTCTTTAATACACTTTACAAATGCTCTAGCTGGTGCATCACATATGATAACAGCAAGATTGATTTTAAACTCAATATTTTCATAGATAAAACCATCTTTTGCAAGAACTTTGAAATCTACCAAAAAATTATGTAGACAATTAAGGTGACCTGCTATTCTCATTTACTGAGTTTTTTTACTCTTTTTTCACAAACCGTACTTTTTTCAAATCCTGTACTCTGAAAGTACTCATTTGTATAATTTTGTACTCATTTGTATTTCTAAAACATTTTTTTAATATTATTTCATTTCAATTTTATTAATCAAATATTTAAAATTATTTTGACAGTGATTTGAATTTCATGCGCACATATTGCTAGCCGTTTCCAGCACGTCAGAGGACAGGGCAAACACCAGATACAAGTTTGACAGTGATTTAAATTTTGAACGCACATATGGCTGCCATTTTCAACATAACTGAGAGGCCATATTATGAACCTGGAGAGATACTACAGACATCTTTTTCAAACAATGTCAAAATTACATTTGTGAAAAGAGATGGATCCAACATTTGCATATGTAATCCCCAGGCTGATATTTGATGTGCAGTATGTACGCCATGCTTGACAGTCTTGAGGCATGCGTAGTATGTACAGCAAAGTTTTTTATCCATTTATTTAATTAAATAAAAGGATAACAAAATTCTTACTGTACATACTACGCATGCGCTTATGGTTAATTAACCATAAAATCAAAAATTACAAACTTAATTATAATTTACAAATTTATGTTCGGTGTCACTCATATTAAAAACAAGTCAATGGAGCGACACCTTCATAAAATAAACAAATAAAATAAAAAATAATAAGAAAGAAAGAAAACTGCATTAATACAAGTAATAAAAAAAGAGGTATAAGGAACAATACTACTTAAAATGTTGGAATTAACACAAAAATATAAAATACATAAGTTCATAAGGATAAAGTGAGAAAAATTTTTTTTTGCAGAAAAGTATAAAAAAACAAATTAAAGGCAAATTTAAATAAAAAAATATATACATACACTACTATATACAATATTAAAGGCTATATTAAAGCCTATAAACTGACTGCTTTGGAAGATTCCAATCCCGGAAAAAAAAAATTTTTTAAAGAAGTTAAAAATTTTTATAAAATTTGCTATGAATATATCGAAGAATGGATAATGAACTTTAGAGCATTGAATTGTTTTAAATGGGCCCTTATAAATAGTAAAGTTTAATGGAAAAAAGTTTCTTCAGCAGTTGAATTTTTAATAAAGGAAGTAAAAGATATTTTTATTAATGACAATTTTCTTTTTGAAGAAATTGGAAGAGTAAATTTATTTTTAAATGAAGAAAAATTGAAGAAATGAAACAATGAGAAAATAGAACTTGAAAAAAGATGGGTAGAAATCTTTCCGCATTTTTGAGTAGAACATATCCCACATAAAAGTTTTAACAGAAATTTCTTTATGTTGTCCAGGCACTAATGCTGCTGTTGAAAAGATATTTTCACTAAGGAATGATTATTGGAGCAGTGAGAAGTTGCAACTTTCTGTAAAAACATTATATGCCGTCTTAACAGTCAAATTTAATATGAAATTTAATATGTTTGGATGCAGCTACATTATTAGACGAACATCCTCATCTAGCAAAAAAAATCCACTCTGACGAAAAATATGTTTAAAAAAAAAAATAAAGTTTTATCGTTTTATCTACCTTTTTTTTTTTACCTATGAAATACTTGCAAAGTGTACTCTTTTTGAACAAAAGATAGTTGGTCCCCTTAAGATAATCAAAAATGGAATTAGATTTTTCGGCACCACTTTTTTAACAAATTTCTAAAAAATATAATTTGGGTCCCCTAATATTGTAAGTCCTAGGCCTAGGCTCTGATGGCAACATTTATAAATAGCAACAACTTTTGGCAAATTTTATTTAAAATTTACATGTATGTTTAAATTTTGTCACTATTTTAGATTTTCATTGAATAAATTCCTATATAAAAATATATTTTACATAAATTATTTATAGAGTATTATTCTCTTTTACTATCAGCTATCAAGATGATTAAAGTGACTTGATCAGCTTCAGCATTAATCTGAAGCTAATGAGTTTATAGCTGAAGCTGAAATATCAGCTGCAACCCCTACTTTATAGACAACATAGTCAATGTGATGTATATACATTATAATAATAAATGTGTTTTTTTTTTATACTCAAATACTTATTTTTTTGTTTTATGATACATTTAAAATTTTTTTTTAAACACATGTTTTTGTATAATATTTAATATTTAGGAAATACTGACTTTTGCCGAATATTCTTTAGATAAAAAAAATATTTACTTACATGACTCTAATCGAGGTTATGAACAACGGTAATATTTACTCAAGTTATTATATTTGTCCCACAAAGTTAATGTAGCTCTATTATACTCTCACTAATTCTAATAATAAAAAGTTATTGCCATTATTACTATAATTATATTTACTAACCTGTTATTAAAAATATTTATCAAAAACACATTCTGGTTGTTGAAGTCACTTTTACTCATATCAATATGCAAATATTGTCAACAGTCAGAGTGCACCATGCAGAAATATTCTTTTACATGCTGCAAAATACAAGATATACATAAGATACATATCATATAAGACCTATTGACTGGAACTTAACATTTTATATTGTTTAACTTACTGTGACTCAATTATAATAAATAAGCATATGGTAATAATCTATATAATAACTAACATCTTTTTTTTAGTTATTGTTATTTAAGTAAAAGTTATTAAGTTAAACTAAAGTTTTATAACTAAAGTTTGAATGCAAAAGTTTATATTAATAAAAAATTTTATCAGTATTATAAACATAAGTATTATATTACAAGTATTTACAAGTATAGGTATTGTAAGTACAAGTTATTATTATGTATATTATGAAATTATTGTTTATATTGCAAGTGTACAATTTTAAATCAAAATTAAAAAATATCAATTATAAAAAACTTGTTTCAGAAACGTACGTCAAAATCCCGTTCCCGTAAGCCCAGACAAAAACCATACGATACCCGTCTGTCAATGTTGGCTGGGAATACATTAAAGTAAAGAAATTAATTATAGCAAGTTTTCATAAAACAAAAGTGCTACAGTTAAAAAAAGCAAAGAAACTCTCGGAAAGTCATTAAGAACCGCTGTGTAGCATTTATGTTTTTACAAAATTAAATTTTTAATAATGGTTTTAAAAACAAATGAACATACTATAAAGTAAATGGTATTAGGAACAAAAGAATAAAAAAGTTCTCTTGAAAGTTCTCAAAAAAGTTCAAAAAAGTTTATTTAAAACATTTATTCCAAAACTTATTAATATTTTGTTGCGAATATAGGCAATATGTGTATAATTTAAATTATACACATATTCCTTATATTCACAATATGTGTATAATTTGAATTATACACATTATATAACTGTAATACTCAAGTTTACATTTTCGTCGATAAGAACAGCAAGAAACTTTTTCATTTTACTTGTTTATTTAATTTAAACTATTAGAGATTTAAAAACTGATTTCAAATGAGATTAAAATAATCTTAAAGATTCTTTACATTTTCAAATTTTTTTATTTTCGCATATTTTATGTTAAAATATATATTTTGGTAATTTTTGTGGAATTTTTTTGTTGATTTCTTACCAAAAAGTAGTTTACTTTTACATTATAAGGGTCTAATTGACTTTTTTTGTTTTTAACTGGTTATTTCTAAAAGAATACAAAGATTGTAAACAAATAATGTGAAAATGACGAAATAAGTTTAAAACAAAAAAAGTGACGTCAAATTTAGCTTTAGTACAAAATTGTGTCAAGCATGTCTGGAGGTATCATTTTTTTTTTTTTTTTATAGATTTAATTATTTTTTATTTATTACATAAGTTTTGATTTTTTTTATAATTAATTACATATTATGTAGTAAAATATTTTTTTTATTATTTTATTATTTTTGTAATTGTTAAATTTATTGATTAAATGTGAAATTTAAAATTTAGAAACGGTAAAGATATTTAATTTAGCTATGTTATTGATGCAACATAAATACAAGTTTACGCTTTTAACAATTAATATTCATAATTAATAAAAAATAAATTATTTTTTTATTTAAACATCTGTTTTATTTATTGTGAGCAGGTATAAACCTTTGTTTGGTTAGCTTAGGAGACTTTTGTGGTAATAAACAATATTTTAAAAATATATAAAAATATTTGTAATAGTCACTACATTAAGTTATATCTTTTTATGAAAGTCTACCTAAGTCCTTTGATGAAAAAAAAAAAAAATCATAAATAATATTGTAACGCAACTTATACGCAAGTATTTTATTGTTCCTTATCCCTACTAAGTATGTCCTTTATTATTCCTCTTCCCACTAAAGAGAGACTAGTAAATATTAGAAACAAAGATTAATGACCTTTAATGGAATAAAAAAATTTTTAGATTAAAAGAAACATAGAGGACTAAGACATATTAACCTAACAAATAAACTAATAACTGCTCAATTACAGTAAATTGTCAGATTAAATAACGGAAAACTAGTAGAACCAAGATGAAATGAACCAATCACATATGTTCTAAACTCTCACAGGAGCGCAAATCAAGGTAAATATATTTTAGAATGTAGCGAAACGCAACTCAGAAAGATACTGTCATTTTATGCGCTGCGTTTAAAATACTGGCAAAAAATAAATGTCTTAAAGAATCTTGTTGTAGAGATTAAGAAGCAATGTTTTCCTACAAACCAATAAAAAAGTAATGGAAAAAATATTATAAGCTATATTAGAAGAACGCATGATATAGTGTTACTGAGAGACTTACCAAAAACATTACAGCCCGGGTTTATGACTCAGACATCAGTGGGATTGAGAGAAAGGTAAATCAATGAGATTATCAGAGCATTGTCACCTGAATAAAAATAATTATAGAGAATGCCAAAATTTGAAAACAATTAAAAATCTAAAAATTTAAAAATATAAGTTATTCTTATAATATTGTTAAAAATGAGAACAAAGATTGTTTTGTTGCAATAGAATTTCAAATATAAAGAATTAATACTATTTTTTTTTACGAAAACCTTTTTTCAGTGAAGTAAAAACTTATCGAAATTGATAAAATGCAGTAATATTTATAAGATTTTTTAATACAAATACTGTAAAAATAAAATTATTTAACTAAATTTTTTTTAAAAAAAAACTGTATAAAAGAATTTTTTACGATAACTTTACGTAAGTAAAATCTTCTTGTGATTAAGCATTTAAAAATGATGTTTTTTTTAATTTTGTTTTGTTTAGATTGTTTTTCTAAACTGCCTTTGTATGGCAAAATTTTCTATCTGGACACTCCAAGCTACAAACACAACAAGCAGTTGCAATCCAGGTTGAAAAGATTAGGAGCGGTAATTTAATCTAAATTTACATTTAAAATTAAAATTAAAACATTATAAATACGAAAACAAACAACGTTCTTTGGTTATAACAAAAAAGTTGTTTTAAATTTAAATATTTTCAGTATACGTGTGTGTAACGTTAGTTTACAAAATAATTGACCTTCTTTTATTGCTAAACCAGAAATGAATTGTCAGTTAAGCAAACTTCCTTTGCTTTACTTAGACCACGGCAAGTGTACGTTTGCTGCAATATTAACATATGAATTGCAAATGAATAGTTTGTAAAACATTGTTGCGCAACAGTCTTTAATTTACTACTAAACACATTTACTTAGACTTGCCTATAGTCTTATAGATAACGCATACCCACTGGGATCCCCACTGGGATCCCCACTGGTATATTTAAAATACTAAAGATTTGCTGCCCTTCATCAAAGTACAAAAACAATGAAAATAAACTTGTTTTTATTCACCCCACAGAACTGGTCGAATGAGCAAAAGCAGGTCTTTGAATTTATGTTTGTTTTCTTTTAAACTTTAAGTAATAAAAACTCTGTTCTAATAATTAAACAAATTTAATAAATAAACATAGACTCATATTTACCATGAATGATATAAAATAACATAACTAGTAATTTAAAAAAAGTTTAATAAATTGTAACATTATTTGTTATGTCATTAAAAAAACCGTTTTTAAAACAAGACTGATTTAAGAATTGGTGCGGACAATATTTGAATAACATCATTTCTGGAGATAAAAGGTTCTTTGTCATTCATTTCAAAAATATTTGTTTGCGACACTCGTTTCATAAATATTCCTATAAAATTATAATTTTTGGAATAGTTCACTTTAAAAATGCTACATCTTAATGAGTTTTACTGTTATACCTCAAATTTTGACCAACATAGAGTCACCCGGTTTGATGCATGCACCTGCGTGTTCAATCAGGTTGGTAAATGTATCTGCAATTGAATGATTAGCAGGAGCAGTATGAATATGTCAGTTTCTTCTTCTGATTTAGATAAAAAATAGTTCGTCATTGCTGTTCTACAAAATGTACAGGTAGTAATTATCATTTGACGGAATGTCTATTTCTAATTTTACAGAGTTTTTTTAGACAGTGGTTTTAAATTTGTATTATTGCTAATAGCATTGGTAGTTGAGGTTTGCGGATCCACTTCTTTAACAATCCCCAGAAGGTCATCACTTCAAACACTTTTTCCACGAAGAAAATTGTTTTTTCTTTTCTTCCTTGTGTTAGCAGTACTAGTTTGATCTAATCTCATACTTCTGGCATGGCTTTTCGTAAGCTTATGTCTTTTTTTTGGTCAAAAAATTTTCAATAATGTTGCAAGCCTTGTTGAAAGCAAAATTTGGAAGTAACTGGAAAAAAAATGAAGTTTATCGAGCAAGATAATGAATGAGAGACGAATAAAAAGACTGCAAATTGTATAAATAAGAAAAACAAGATGAAGCAAGCAAATTCAAAATAACTGATGTTCGAAGAAAACAATAGACAAATAGGAGTTTTTGAGCACTAATGAAAAGTCACATAAAAAAGATAAGACTTAATTCAATGACGAGTAACATAAGAATTAATTTTAGTAGAAGGCGCTAGAGACGGTAGCTCTTTAGAGCAGTGCCCATTATAGTATTTGCAAAAAAGAGAAAGAGAAACAACATTACGACGAGGTTATAATGGTTGGAGGTTGGCTGCAAGAGCAGGTTGAACTATGCTTACAATGCGTTTTTGCAATTTGTCTAAAAGACAAGATGCAAGTAAATTTTGGAAAATCCGCCCTACATATGGCAACAGTATTTGAGTACCCGCCCTAGATATAGCAGCAGTATATGATGGATTTGGTGTCAATCATTAATGTAAATTAAGAAGAGTAAAAACGATGGAACCTTGAGGAACATCTGAAGTTACAGGATATAAAAAAGAGTGCTGTCCTTCGAGGACAACTTTTATACTATTAATTGAGATGGAAGGATTTAATAATCTTAAAGATCTTACCTGATACACCATAAGAAGAAAAGGAAAAAGTTTATAAAGAAGAACAGCATGCCAAGCTTTATCCAAAAGCTTTAGAAATATAAAGAACATTAATCTCTCTAACTCTATTTTATGCATGATAAAACCAATCGGTTATACTGTTAAAAATTTGCTATAAAACAAGAGGATGGAAATCCATATTGATAATCAGAAAGTAAGTTATTAGATTTAAGATGAGAGATTAGGTGTTTGTTAATTAAAGATTCAAAACTCTTGCTTATAAAAGGAGGAAGGGAAATAGGATGGCAGTTTGACAAGTCAGATTGCATTCTAAAATTTTTGAAAATAGGGATAACAGATGCCGCATTCCAGAATGCCGGAAAACAAGACTCTGAGAAGCACTAGTAAAATAGTTTTAAAAGTTTGAAAGTAAAAAGTTTTGAAAGAACAGCTCCGGAGAACAAATCTCCAAGACTATAACAGGTATGTTTTCCGGAGGACAAGCTGTAGAAGAGGCTAAGCAAGAAATCACTTTAGATACAGAAACTGGAGTGATACAAATGTCAAGCAAGTGATCAACCTGTTTGTCAGCTATATCAAGTAGAACGCAACTAGTGGAATCAAGAGACGATATTGATAAAAAGTTCTTAGCAAACAAATCATCTTTGTTTTTAAGGTGAGGTGAAAAATCTGAACCATTTAAGAGAGGTGGAATAACAGATTTTTCCTTATTATTGATACTGTTAAAGATTCTGCAGAAGTCACGAGTGCCTAATTTTCGAGATGTAACACAAAATTTTATGGCCTGAGAATAGTGGGTTTTGGCGTTAGACAAAACCTTTTTACAATGGTTTCTAAAAATAGTAAACAGACGTCTGTTTTCTGGAGAATTGTTTTGCTGATAGATGTGGAAGTAATGGTTTTGATTGGCAATTTCAGCAGCACAATGTGAGGAAAACCATAAAAAACAGTGAGAATTGATTGGAATGATAAAGAGGGAATAAAAGATTCTATGCCAGCATGAACCTAAGAAGTTATGTAAGAAGCACAAAAGAGTTCCAGTCAGCTTTAAGGTAGTTGTTATAGGAACGATGATAGAGGGATTCTGATGAATAAGAAGAATGAGATAATAGTTTTAGAGAGATCAAACCGTGATTACAAGCACCTAAGGTTAAGTGTAGTGAAACTGAGCAATGACTAGTATCAGATACAAGACAAAAGTCAAGTAGAGTAGGTAAATAATTCCGGTTGTCTAGAAAGCGAGTTTGAAAGTTAACTGTTTGTGTCAGATATTGAGAAAGGCTAAATTTGTGGGTCTTATTGCCTGCGAGTCACTTACAGTAGAGCCAAGCTATTCAGTGTAATGAGCATCAAAGCCACCAGCAACAACATTAATTGCTGATGGAAAAAGAGAAAGGGCATGGTCAATTTGAATCAGAAATAACATCAAAAAGAGTGCAGTCTTGAGATAAAGGAGAGCGATATAGAACAAAGAGAAAGGCGATAGAGTGAAGTGGTTCTAAGCTAAAGCACATAAAAGAATAGCAAGTAGTTTCCATTCTAGTTTCCCAACAAACAGGTGAATTCTTACAAATGTAAATGCCCAGGCCAATCATGTCACTATTGGAGTCTTTACAAATTAAAGGAAGATAACCATAAACTTTAAGATCACAAGGTGAGACAGTTGAACTCAAAATAGTCTCACAAAGACCGATTTTAAAGAACGATCTAAAGACCGCGGTCTATAGATTGTTCAGTAAAATTTTATTAAAAACCTTCTTACAGCTTTTAATATTTTCATTTTATTGCTTTATTTTTTGTTTTTAGGAATTCGTATTTTATTCATTAATTTTTATTTTATTTTTGGCTTCACATATGTTTTGAAATTTAGAAATCCTTAGAACGTCTTTGTGAATCGAAATATTTTTTATACAATTTTTTATTAATTGATTTTTACATCTTATATATCTTCCAATCATATTATTATATTAAATACACCTCAAATTTAATTGTTATATTAAACCATATATTAAATCCAAAATTAGCATCTGTTAAGATTGCATCTTTTTATCACGCTCGTCACTTTCTTACTCCGGATTCTTTTCTTTATCTCTATAAATCTCAAACCCATCCTTGTTTGGAACACAATTGCCATATCTGGAGCGGATCTTCGAATGTAGCCCTTTTTTTTAGACAAGGTGCAAAAACACATTGCAAGCATAGTTAGACCTCCTTTTGAAGCCAATCTTCAACCATTGTTACATGTCGTAATGTTGCATCTCTTTCTCTTTTTTGTAAATAATATATTAGGCGCTGCTCTAAAGAGGGCAGGATTGAAAAGTATTGTTTTTCAAAAGGAACGTCCATTGCAAACTAAATTAGGAATAAAAAAAATTAATAAAAACGTTTAGAAGGGGGCGAAAATACCTAACATACTACTTATAAATATCTATTTAATTTTGAGAAAAGGCAATGTTAGTAGAATTCTAAATTTTTAGTTATAGGCATTTAAAACACGAAACTTGTCACGAAACGATTGATAAGTTTCTACCGTGACACAAGTTTCAATGGTGATAACAAAAAAATTAATATTCCACATGCAGTGTCTTTACTTAAAACTGAATAGGTCTTTTTAGATAGCCTTTTAGGTATTATTGCCTTCTTCTAAACGTTTTTATTTTTTTGTGAATTTCTAATTTAGTTTATAAAGGTCATTCCTTTAAAAAAAAAGTCTTTTTAATTCTGCCCAAGAGCTAGCTTCTCTTTTACCATCTACTAAAATTCATTCTTGTGTTATTCATCATTTTATTAAGTTACAGTTGTTTACTGTGGCTGTTTCTAAGTGTTATAAAAGTTCCTATTTGTCGAGTTTTTTTCCTCAAACATCATTTCTTTTGAATTTGCTTCCACCATCTTGTTTTCCTAATTCATATAATTTGCAATCTTTTAAGTCGCCTCTTATGCGTTATCTTGCTTTTAAACTTCATCTTTTCTCTTCCAATAACTTCCAACTCTAATAGTGGTTGCTTGCAGCCTTGTTGGAAGTGAATATGTTTGAATAAAATCTTTTTGTAATATTATGACATGGGCCCATATAACGATGACGTAACACATTATAATACCAAAACAAATGTAAAGCCGGGTCAAATGATATAGTGAGTTTTAAACCATTTTTTTAAGCAAAAAAGATTTTCAATTTTTTTAATTAGTTGTAGAGAATTTTAAGGTTTTAAAGAGTTTATTAGGAAACTTTGTTTAACTTAAAAAAAAACTATTTCATGCTACCCTCATATTTCATAAATGTCCAAAAAAACACTATAAAAACAACAACTCAACCTTTTTTAAATTGCTTTGCAAGGTAATTTAACTTGAGAATTAACTTGAGAAGGATAAACCACTATACTGTAATAGTAAAAATTTTCAATATAAATTTTTGAAACAAAAGTTTTGAAACATAAAAAAAAAAAAGAGATTGATAAAAAACTTATATAAATAAGCTAAAAATGCTTCACATAACAAAAATTTAAAAATGCTTATTACATAACTTATGAAATATAATAAATTTGTTTTTCTTTCTATAAACTGCTCTGTATTTTAGACAATTGAACCCTTCTTGACAAACAGCATCACATATTTTGTCACCGACACAAAACAAGAGTGCAAAAGTAAAAACGAAAAAGACCTCAATGAAAGCAACACGTGTCAAACGCCATTTCCTTACCAAGTAAGTTCGATGCATTTATACAAACATAGTAGGAGCATACATAAATGCATACATACATACATGCATACATACATACATACATACATACATACATACATACATACATACATACATACATACATACATACATACATACATACATACATACATACATACATACATACATACATACATACATACATACATACATACATACATACTTACAAACATACATACATACATACATACATACATACATACATACATACATACATACATACATACATACATACATACATACATACATGCATACATACATACATGCATACATACATACATGCATACTTACATACAGGGGCAATTCTTGGTAGAGTTCGGACTGTTGTAACCGTAATTAAAACAATAACAAAAACAATAACTATTGTTATTAACTTTTTTAGAAATAATAACAATACCTGTGAGTTGTTATACTAGAATACAATAACAATAAATGTTGTATTTCAATTTATCTTAATAATAATAAAAAAATATATATATCTGAAAAAAAAGGTATTTTAATAACCCTCTACAATAACAATAAATACTGTATTGTAATTCATCTTTATAATACAACAAAAATTTATTGTTATTGTAATGAAAAAACTACTCTAATTTCAAAATAAAAATTTTTTATTAAGAGTCCAGTCTCCGTGCTAAGTGACCTTGAATTAGGGTATAATTAATTTAAAATTATTGATTCTTGTTCTATTTTATATACTGAACATCAATTGTTCTATTAAAAAACTTTAAATAGCTCTATAAAGGTGAGTTTTATCTAAACTGTTCCTTTTTTGGGATAGACATGTATATTTTACAATAATTACTCATATATAACTCTAATATAACTGTTTTTTGTTTTCCTGAGGTTTTGATAGCGTATCTGTTCCATATAGTAACTGGACTTTTAGGTCTAGTCGCAAAATAAATTATTCCTTATGCAGTTATATCATTGAACTCAAAATAAATACAATTTTTATATGTAATGGTTCGTAGAAATGCGTGCCATGAGCACCTCTTAATTTAATTTTTTTTAAGTATATGTATTATATAATAACTTCTTTGGCTTTACTGATTTCACTTCACTTCTCAAAACAAATAAAACTTATATATGAAAATAAGTGCTAAAAACGTGCGTCACGAGCGCCTGTGAATTTTCTAGTACGCAAATAATAATAAATGCGTAGAAAAAAATCAAAATATTTTAAAATACAATAGCTATTGGACTTCGAAATAGTAATACGATACACCACAACAGTTGTTGTAACTGTTTTTCATCAAAACGATGCAATCGCTGTTCTAATTGTTTTTCATCCCTGCAATACAAAACAAAAGTTATTGTAATTGTTTTACATCACAACAATACAATACAATAGTTTTAGGATTTCAATATATTGTTAGAATAAAATCAATACAAACGTTATTGTTACTGTTTTTCATCACAGCTATACAATAGTCACAAAAAATCTTTTAATTACATCTCATAACAATACATTATTATTGAAGTGTAATGTGTTATAGTATTTAACTTTTACAATTTCAATTACAACAGTCCGAACCCTCATTGAAGGAATAAAATAAAAGTAATTAACACATAAACACAATAACATTTAATTAATTAAAACATAAACGCATATCTTTTAAAATATAAGCATATAACATAAATAATAAAAAGACATAACAATTAAAACATAATCACATAACATAAATAATAGAATAAGGTAAAGGATAAAAAATGAACAAAAGAACTAAAGCAGAAGGAAGAAAAAGACAGCTATTTGATAAAAGCAATAATATTCTAAACTAGCTGTCTAGATCCGAATATTGGGTCACGTTAGGTCTGTTTCACATCTACCATTTATATACTTTTCAATATAAATATTTAGTCTATTTATTTCAATGAAGATAGAAAGTAATTCGTTTTGGCTTTAAGTCAACTTTATAACTTTAAATTAACTTTATATCTTTAATTAAACGGCGTTGGACGCCTAAACCTTTTTTATTTTTTCCTCTCCCCTCCCCTCCTCTTATTGCTAATGAATTTTAATGTAGAAACTTTTAGGTGATTAACAAATCGAGGATGAGGGGAAGGTTGGTTGGAGAACATTTATTAATTTCTACTTGTTATTAACAAAAAAACAAAGTCACGAAAGTTAAAAAAAAAAATTAAAAAAAGTATATATAAGTCACTAATAAAAATAAAAACTTGTGTAATTAGCCTTTGAAACTCGTCGATTTTTACAAAACTTAGACTTTTCAAAACTAATAAACGTTCATTTCTCACCATAATTAAAAACTATGTGAGTATAATAAACTCTATTAAATTATATTGAAACAGCAGGAAAAAAAAATTCGCATTCAACCGCAAGCCACACTCTAGACTATTTTTCCCCGCCCCCCCCCCTTTCCTTGTGTTACGCACCCGAGAGTAATTAAGTAAAAAATGCTTTTGCAATATTTATTTTTCAAAAAAAAAATGTTTCTTTTAAGTGTAACTTATGTAATTAAGTAGAAACGTTAATATCTCAAACCATAGTCAAAAAAGGCGTTATCCTAACAATTCTTTACGTGTATTTTCATATTTTAAGATATTTTTTGAAAATTAAAAAACTTATTTATTAGATTTTAGAAATATTTCAGCAGTAGTGATCTGTGAAACGGGCCGAGGTAGGTTAACCGTGGTAGGTTGCTTCACACCTACCATTTATACACTGATCTCTTTGTATCTCTTTATTTCAATAGGTAAATGAATAATAGTAGAAAAAAATGGTAGAAAAATTTTTGGTTCTCAAATGTAAGAAACCACTCCTACCTGTTTATTGTACAGACAAGCATAGTTATTTTAAAACTAAATGGAAAAAAAATAAATAGAAAGTTAAAGTGTATATATATTTACAACCAAAATTAAGTCAACGTAACGTAGATTTCAAATACCTTTTTTGAAAACAATTTAAAGGTTTAAACTAAATCACTTAAAAATAAATTAAGTCTTTATCACTTTCTTTGGCTTTTATTAAAATGGTTTCAAACCATTAGTATAAAAGATAACTTTTTTTGATGATATTAAATAATCAGCCCAAATACTTATGTTTACATATATTGCTTTTCTTTTTCTTTTTTTTTTAATTAAACTGCGCTTTTTTTTTTTGCGTTTTTATAACTTTCAAGATTTTCTGTCGTTTTTTCTGTCGTTTTTACTTTTTCATTTTTAAAATTATTCTCTAGAAGATTGTTAGCAACAAATTATTTTATTGCTGAAGTTTTTGATTTGTTTTTGTATTTATACTGTCTTTTTTCTTTTATCATTTATTGTGCATGTAAATTTTTGTGTGACGGGGCTCGGTGATAAGACAACCTGTCTTCTTCTTGCTCCGGCTAGGATTTTCTTTTATTGTAATTTCTTTTTTGTAATATTTATCAACGGCAAAATAAATAAATAAATAAAAAAAAAAAAAAAAAAAAAAAACTTATGTCAATTTAGTTCTCTAAAACGCCCAAATACGTCATAAATCTAAAAGAAAAAAAGTAAAGAAACTATTATATATAAAATTAAAGGTGCATCACATTAATAATCTAGATATCGATATACCTGTTTTCAGTAACCTGTTGTGATTCACCATCAGTTGTTGGCAGTGGCGTTTCTAGGGGGTGCGGTTCGCACCGGGTGACACCATCAGAGGGTTGACACATATAATAATATATATATATATATATATATATATATATATATATATATATATATATATATATATATATATATATATATATATATATATATAGTAGGAATATATATATATATATATATATATATATATATATATATATATATATATATATATATATATATATATATATATATATATATATATATATATATATATATATATAAATATATATATATATATATATATGTATATATATATATATATATATATATATATATATATATATATATATATATAGTAGGAATATATATATATATATATATATATATATATATATATATATATATATATATATATATATATATATATATATATATATATATATATATATATGTATATATATAAATATAAAGGCAGAGCCGCCAAGAGCTGTCACGCCGCCTGGGACAGCAATCCTGATTGGCGCCTTTATTTTTCAAATTTTCCCTATATTATATATGAAGGTCCTTTTTTTGGATATCTGCCGCCCGGGACAAACTGTCCCGTTGGCCCACCCTCTCGGCGGCCCTGCATACAGGGGCGGGGGAAATATTTTTTGGTATTTGAGTTATATAACTTCCAGGTAGTTTCTAAACTCCAAGTTTTTGTATTTTTATACTTTAGTCATTTTAGGATGACTAGCTAAAGATTTCGTTGGTATGCAAATCAACATATATGATATATCATATATGAGCTCATATATGAGCCTGGGAACAAAAAACCCTAAAAAGTAGGCATTCCCCGCCCAAATGTAAGGGGAATCGGTTTTTCTAAATATAAATTTAAATATCCTTAATTAGGTGGTAATATCGTTAAAGTTGTTATCGTTAAGGTACAAGACCCCTCAAAAAAAAATTTATTAAAAAAACCGTTTTAACAAAAAACCAATTCTATCATGAGAAACAACTAGATAACAGGATTTTAAAAAATACAAAATAAATTTATTAGTTGTCATGGCTACCAAGTAAAATGGCCGACATCCAAAAATTTTAAGTTACCCCGGCCAAGCTATCTCAGTAACCGAATGCATGTAGGTTATGAATTTTTGGCAAATGGTTAATATCATATTGATTTACAAACTGAACTAAAGTTATTTTAAAAAACTAAGTGCTTGACCACTAATTAAATTTTCAAAATGGCGTGTTAAAAATTTGATTTTTTTGTAACTTAAAACTTTTATAAATCAAAAACTCTTGATTGTATTAAAAAATCTTCAGTTCCAATTGTACAACGAGATGCAATAAACATTTGGTGAAAATTTCATACAAATTTGACTTACGG